CCATCTCAGTGGTAGAGATAGACGATGTGTGGTAGTGAAGTGGAGAGGAAGATGAAGACAAAAGTAGTTCAATAACATTCACTTTTGATGTGCCATTGTCGCTTACTGGCTGCTGTGGTAGAGATAGACAATGTGTGGTAGTGAAGTGGAGAGGAAGATGAAGACAAAAGTAGTTCAATAACATTCACTATTGATGTGCCATTATCACTTACATCCTGCAGTGGTAGAGATAGACAATGTGTGGTAATGAAGTGGAGAGGAAGACGAAGACAAAAGTAGTTCAATAACATTCACTATTGATGTGCCATTGTCACTTACATCCTGAAGTGGTAGAGATAGACAATGTGTGGTAGTGAAGAGGAAGATGAAGACAAATGTATTTCAATAACATTCACTACTGATGTGCCATTGTCACTTACCAACTGCAGTGGTAGAGATGGACAATGTGTGGTAGTGAAGTGGAGATGAAGATGAAGACAAAAGTATTTCAATAACATTCGCTTTTGACGTGCCATTGTCACTTACTGGCTGCAGTGGTAGAGACAGACAATGTGTGGTAGTGAAGTGGAGAGGAAGACAGTATTTCAATAACATTCACTTTTGATGTGCCATTGTCACTTACTCTCTGCAGTGGTAGAGATAGACAATGTGTGGTAGTGAAGTGGAGAGGAAGATGAAGACAAAAGTAGTTAACATTCACTATTAATGTGCCATTGTCACTTACTGCCTGCAGTGGTAGAGATAGACAATGTGTGGTAGTGAAGTGGAGATGAAGATGAAGACAAAAGTATTTCAATAACATCCACTTTTGACGTGCCATTGTCACTTACTGGCTGCAGTGGTAGAGACAGACAATGTGTGGTAGTGAATTGGAGAGGAAGATGAAGACAAATGTAGTTCAATAGCATTCAATTTTGATGTGCCATTGTCACTTACACTCTGCAGTGGTAGAGATAGACAATGTGTGGTAGTGAAGTGGAGAGGAAGATGAAGACAAAAGTAGTTCAGTTTTGATGTGCTATTTTCACTTACTGGCTGCAGTTGTAGAGATAGACAATGTGTGGTAGTGAAGTGGAGAGGAAGATGAAGACAAAAGTAGTTCAAACATTCACTATTATACTAGTGGAAATGTTAAACATTGTTGGCGAGCGGGAGCGACCCAACTTTGGATTTGCCCGCGATGTTCGGGCTGCATAACGCCGTCAGCGCACAGCTTTCCTTTCAAGACAGATCTACCTGTCGCCGTTACACGCGTACTGCGGCAGTACGGTGAGCAAAGCGACGCTAATACTACAGACGAGCCTCTCTCTGCTCAGCAGTCTCACGGGCACGACGTTCTCTTTCCCTCTCTCTTCGACAACGAAAGGCATCTTCTCTGGACTGATCCATGAGTGCGAGAGTACAGAGCTAATGCTACGCACACGCGTATTCACTGCCTGCACGACCTGCACGACATTATGACAGGGCAGGCCGCATGTGAGAAAGTTGAAATACTTTCGGATAAAAAGAAGCGCGTAATCCTGGAGCATGTGCAGTTGGACGACGTATGGTCGTAGATAAATAAATAAATATGTATATACATGTATGAGGAAAATTCCGCTCCATTCGTATCACTAGGTTGGCTCGCTCCCACTCGCCAATTAACGTGCCATTGTCACTTACCATCTTCAGTGGTAGAGATAGACGATGTGTGGTAGTGAAGTGGAGAGGAAGATGAAGACAAAAGTAGTTCAATAACATTCACTTTTGATGTGCCATTGTCACTTACTGCTGCAGTGGTAGAGATAGACAATGTGTGGTAGTGAAGTGGAGAGGAAGATGAAGACAAAAGTAGTTCAATAACATTCACTATTGATGTGCCATTGTCACTTACATCCTGCAGTGGTAGAGATAGACAATGTGTGGTAGTGAAGTGGAGAGGAAGATGAAGACAAAAGTAGTTCAATAACATTCACTTTTGATGTGCCATTGTCACTTACTGCTGCAGTGGTAGAGATAGACAATGTGTGGTAGTGAAGTGGAGAGGAAGATGAAGACAAAAGTAGTTCAAACATTCACTATTGATGTGCCATTGTCACTTACTTCCTGCAGTGGTAGAGATAGACAATGTGTGGTAGTGAAGTGGAGAGGAAGATGAAGACAAAAGTAGTTCAATAACATTCACTATTAATGTGCCATTGTCACTTACTTCCTGTAGTGGTAGAGATAGACAATGTGTGGTAGTGAAGTGGAGAGGAAGATGAAGACAAAATATCATTAAATTGTCAGAGAGATGTCAAAATAAGACCCATAGAGCTAGTGTGTGAATGCTTTACCTGGTAATAGATCTCTGGCTCTAATATTCAGGGAGACACAAGTAATAATATTAGAAACAGTGGCCATTGCAGTTTACCTTTCTCAGCGACAGATATCTTAGTTTGAATAACCTGCTCAACCTCTGCCCCACAGCTAACCACCAGCTGTGGCAGCTCTGGTACGGGGAACTTCCCTACTGGGTTGCCATAGAGCTGGGTGACCCTCTCCACCTGATCTGACATCTGTTTCTCCAGACTCAGGACCTCCTGGTCTGTGGCCCTCTCCAGACTGCGGCTCATGAACTCCAGTAGACTCTCCACCTCCCCCATCGCCAGCTGGGCATTCTTCTCCTGCGTACTAACCTTCTCCCTGGCTTCACTCACCATTTGACTTGCTCTCTGTATTAGCTCCTTTCTCTTCTGCCCTGCTTTTGCAATGACTTTGTCAATGGCAGCATTTATTTCCCTGGTGGTGGCAGTTTCACTGTCAGCCAGCTTTTTCTTAGAGTCATCCAGTGACTCCATTACCTCTTTCAGACCTACTGATATTTTCTTCATGGACTCAGCCTTTTCCTTGATATCTGCTTTACAAGGTGGAGCAGCATCGACAACAAAGGCATACCTGTGATCTTTGTGGTCGATCACAATGCAATCGCGACACACCAGCTTGTGGCAGTCACGGCAGTAGAGTTTGAGTGGCTCGTCTGCGTGCTTGCTGCACTTCACCTCACGCTGCACCACCTTCATCTTTTCAGGTGTGCTCTTAGTGATAGTGGAGCGAAGTGAACCAATTGAGACCACTTTGTGGGACGATAGTAAGCGCATATCCTTGTGGGCTTCGGTGCATTTGGTGCAGATGTATTCACTGCAGTCATGACAAAAACTAACTGCAGGGAATTTCGAGCAACTTTCACATGTCACGTTTTCTTTTGCCTGGGCTTTTTTCATGACCGAAAACACTCCCTCCATGCGATTCACAAAGAAGGCTGCTGGGAAACTGCGGGTGAGGGATGAATAAGAAATAATGTGTAGTAAGTAGCGTATCTTCATGCTCCAGTGCCCTATCACTTACCACTACTCTAATTTCCACCACAAAGATGGTAACTATGTACTCTAAAAATCCACCCCTACATTGCTTCGTAGACAATCTACCTCTATGTTGTAGCTAGATAGCAACATATCCATCCAAAAATCTCTTTGCACATCCACATCACACTTGGTCTAAACATACACACCTCTCGGGGTTTTTGCCTGCAGCCTGTGCTTCGCGGCGACATCCGGACAATTGAACGGACGCCCCTTTGCACGTTTGATCAGATCGGCGATGCAGGTCTTGCAGTAGTAGTGAAGACACGGCAGGACCTTCGGCTCCTTGAAGTGCTCCGTGCAGACAGGACAGGTTAGCTCGTCGTCCAGTTTCTGGAGGCTCATGGAGAACAGATCTCCACCGCCCTCCGCCATCTTCGCGCCGCGGCTAGATATATACGTCCAGCACACGCGCATGCTCAGTTAGTAATGCGCGCCTCCTAAAGCTGAAGGTCGCTCTTTGTTACTGACTCAAGCCTCTTGCGAACTTGCAACACACCAAACACATCAAAATTCAAATGAGTGAAAATTATACAAGAAAATAATGTTTAAATATCAACAACAATCAGTGAGAGCTAAAACTTGGGAGGAATCATGGGTTTCTTGTTGGGTGGTGCCAATGGCTTCTTGGCAGGAGGAGCTGAGGCTCACTGTTGAGGGAAGTGTTCTGTGGTGTTGGTGGCACTGGAAGTTTGACTCGTGAGGGAGCTGCTGGGCAGTCGGCTTGGAGCAAGGGAGGGGGCTTGCTGCTGGGAGCAGGTCGCACAGCTGATGAGAGTTCATTGGAGGACTGTACAATGAATCATGTATGTGAACTTATACCCCCAACAAATAACTGTTCCAGATATCAAGGGAATGCAGCAGGAATAGGGCTAAATTTGACAATGCTCCGTACACAATTACAATTACATTATAGAAAATTTATCCACTGCCACATTCCCTAGGCGATCTCTAATTTGGACTGCTCTTATAGCTAGACTGCAATAGGCTCTAGGATCTACATCTACAATGGTATATTAGGAGAAAAACAGGTGTCTCACAGGTTTCTGAAGGTTGAGGTGGCAGGACTGGTTTGTGGCCAGCGGAGGAGGTGGCTGACAGTCTTGGGAGGAACGTAGCTGCTCTGAGACCTCGCGGGGCGGGCAGGCTGGATGGATGGTTTTGTTGGCAGCAGAGGCTTTGGCTGGTGCAGACGGCTGTGGGGGCTTAGGTCGCGATGGAGCTGGGGTTTAGTCGGAGCTGTCGGAGGTCGGTAGGGGCGGGGGTGGGGCCGGTGCAACCCGTCTGACAGGTGCCTGGGAGAAAGATGCTGGTGCCGGAGTGGCTGCCGTCGGAGGACGACGGGGCGAGCTCGTCCGCCGGCGGTGAAGAGTCTCCGGAGTAACACCGGGTAGGTGGCTGGTACCCGAGTCAGCAGTGTGGTTGGAACCTGACCGCGGGCGTACGCGAGGAGGTCATGCTCTGTGAGCTCTGAGTGGAGAACAGGTTCGTCTTGACGTGGAGGTGGACTAACCAGGTCCCGTGATGGTCGGAGTTTGGTGTTCTTGATGGCGTTTGCCGGCTCTTCCTTCTTGCGGAGCACCAGAAGACCAGATTACCACTATAGGCAATCACAACGACCCTGCCACTATGGCTGCAATGACACCTCCGGCAATGGCCCCTCCGTGGAACTACTGCTGTGTTCTCTCTGTGGTATTACCTGCGAGAGCAATGATCTTCTCTCACTCTCTAGTTAGACTAGAGCAAAAACAAACATGTGACCAGAGCACTGAACGATGACAATGTCGCTCTATTACCCTCTATGATCTAACAACCATGCCTTGAAAGAGTACCTATTGCATTGAGACGAGCGGTCTTTATTGCATCGAGACCTACCGACGCATGTTCTGTCGTCTCCGTCAAGTCTCAAGTGGAAGGACAGCTGCACGTGAAGTTACCACCGTCCATGTTTGGTACATCGTGGGTGAACAGCCATCGCATGCTCAACAGCACACACTCATTGAGTGATCTATGTATGTACATAACAGACGGAAGGTTAACAGATTATGTCTTACATGTATTTGCTTCAATGCAACTCTTACCCATGCACGTCTGAAGTCGCACGACCACGTAGCCAGTCGACAACTGCAGACACAGCCATTCCGTCGGTATGGTGCAGGTGTCGGAGCCAAACGCCATGGTCCTGTACTATCTACTCGTCAGGTCGTGCTTGTACACAAGTGATGGCATAAGTGAGTCTTAGTGGAGAAACTACACGTGTATATGCAGACTCACCAGAGCAAGCCTTCTACTCTGCCCCTAGCTCGAAGCCCTGTGTTTCGACAGAAGCACACGGAGGAGTCGTCGCCTCACTGCACAGCTCAGGGTGGTCACAGTCTTGGCACCGGTACAGAGGGATGCAGTGGCTGCCACGTGATGGGAGAAAACGGGCTCTAAAGAAAGCGTTCAACTATTGGTTGAATATATGCAATAAAACTAGACTAGTCACTCCATACAAGAGGGTATGAAATTGTCTCTTGCAGGAAATGTGTTTAGATCTTATGAGTGTTGCTGAGGGGCGGGGCAGTATATATGGCAGGGGTAGTATGTGGTGATTACCCTCACATTCGCAGGCATTCCGTTGTTTTCGTCCAGCTCGAAGCCAGGGACGGACAAGCACGGAGTGGCCAGCCTCCTCGTTGGTGCACACCTGCGAGCAGCTCCGTAGGCATTGGCACACTCATCAATATCTGCATGTGGAAAGAGAGAGAGAGAGGTCTTAGCTCGGCTGCATGCGTAATAGCAACCTCGTGACAGAGACAAGTAATTAACTGTTCATATACAATTTCAGTTTCTCTCCTCAGTTTTACAGCACAGCTCTTTTTTAGAGAGTGGTACTGATACATAATGTAAATGTTTGTTGAAACAGTGGTTCTTGTTGCATTTCGGTCGGCTCAATACCATCGTTACCATTAGAGCAGGCCCTACAGGGCCAGAGAGAGAGGTGTGAGGGTGCGCATTTTTGGAACAGACAGCGCTCGTGATATCGACTCTCTCTCTGGCCTGGCGGACCTCCCATCGTCTCTTCCTACCACTACAGGTCTCCCGTCTTCGTCCAGCAGAAAGCCTCCTCGAGCTGCACACGGAATCCTCTGTGTTGGTACATATCTGACCACACTCGGCCAACCACGCACACTCACGATATCTGGGAGATGAGAGAAAAAACTACACGCCACTGAAATTTTTTAGAGTTTTTCAGTCTTCACCACATACACCACTCCACACACCACATAGAGTGTAAAACTTTGAGGGGAAAATTTAGAGGTTTTTTTAAGCCATTCTGCAAAGTTTCATTGACAAACTGATCCCGTTTTTACACTGGCCACGAACAATCTACAACGAGATTCTTTGCATATATCCTAGTGAATTATCCCTGGAAGTTCCCTGTACAAGGTGTGAAAACGTGTGCAGTAAGGACTATGGCTGAGTGTGTTGAGCCACAGCGTGGGTGAAGGCTAACCAGGCACGATTTCTCGTCCTCAGAGTCGAGCAGGAAACCCGTCTGCAGTTGCAGGTGAAGCCTCCGGGGAGTTGACACAGATCTGGTCGCACGAGTTGGCGTCAGACGACGCACACTCGTCTATCTGGAATAATTATGAGAGGTTCGGCTTATAGCGTACAGTCTAGAACAAACACTTGCCAATTCTATACCAATATTGTGTGTGCAAGTAGAGGTTGTTGTTAAGTCTACTGTACTCGTTATCACCACAGCATTGACAATATACACATGCATGTAGGTTGCATGATGCAAACATAGTAGTTAGTGTATACCATCGCTGTGGTAAGCACACCGGGACTATACCATAGCACGTGTACGTCTCTCGGCTGTAATAGAATGTACACATGTATGGCAGGGGCTGACCGATGCAAGTCCGCCGTCCGAGTCCAGACTGAATCCCGACTGACAGGCGCAGGTAACTTCCCTCGGTGTTGGTGCAGGTAGGTGATCACAGTCGTCTTCTGTGTCTGCCACACACTCGGCCACCTCTGACAGAGATAGATAGTAGGCATTGTCAAGGAGGTGTAACATTGACTGAATTCTGTTCGACTATATAGCCTTATTGCTATGTATAATGCTACTGTCAAGGCTCGTGGGAAAACTGGAGGCTTGTACATATAGTAACAGTGGGGCAATGTGAGATAAATGAAGCTAATATCACGTTTCACTGAAAGATGTGGTGCATCCACCGTCACATCGGCCATCAGGACCGAGGGTGCAGCCCTGAGTGGACAACGGCAGTGGATACGAACCCTCCACGTTGGTACACGTCCCCTCACAGCCTCCGTTGCCACTGGCACACTCGTTTACATCTGTATTGAGGTTGCAGTTGGATATCATAGCAGAATCACCAGTATTAAGGCAAAGCAAGTGCAAGCTTATACTAAGTACGGTAGTATTGTAGTATATAGGGATGACACAGGTCATCCTGCATTATGCCCATACATTTGATAGATCTACTGTAGGCAAACACAATGGAACTACAGCCAGGAAAATTATTCAGAGGAAAAGCACTGCCCTAGTGGGGCTCTAGGGATGGAACCAACATATTATACTCAACTATCGAGTAAGCATGAGAGCTTTGGTGTGCGAGTGTGTATGCCTCCTCACCGATGCAGTCTCGACCGTTTGAAGCCAGGTCAAATCCAGGACTGCAGTCGCAGATGAAAGAGCTCCCGGCGTTCCTACAGAAACCCTGCACAGTCGTGTGTGTCCTCCTCACACTGGTCGACAGCTGCGTAGACACAAATAGTTGAAAATCAATACCCTGGACATTGCAGGGTGGCCTTCTCTATGTAAAACGTACGTAAGCAGGCGAATCCGTCGGGCTGCAGTTTGTAGCCCCTCGCTGCAAAACACGTCGAGCGAGCAAAATCGATGCGATCCTTCCGTCGAGTTGGTAGCCTTGGGACAGCCGCAACTCGAAGCCGCCCAGGTTGTACAGTTCCCTCACAGTCGTGGGTGCCCTGACACACTCATTCACATCTGTAGACAACAGCACATATAATGGTAAGTTGGCCAGTTAATATTTAACCGTAGCGTAAGAGAATATTGCGATCAAGCTATTGTACAGCCCAGTGAAACGTAAGAGGGAGAAAACCTCCATCTCTTAAACTTTGTCATCCCACAATTCAAATGAGAGAAACATTTGCCGGATGGCTCATAAACTGTGCAATTTTTTTTCCATTCAAAGTTCCCCCACTATGGTAGAGCATGGTATTGAGGAGATGTGCTCTCACCATTGCAGGATCTGCCGTTGGAGGCGAGGGAGAAGCCGGGTCTGCAGCTGCAGGTGAAACTCCCGTCTCTGTCAGTGCAGATATGAGCACAGCCGTCGATGTCCTCTGCACATTCGTCTATATCTGGGGAGGGAGCAAATCAGGTTACAGACATTTCTCAACACCCGCAGTTAAACAGCACAGAAGTGGTGTTGTTCCAATTTACCAACGGATTAGCGAGACCAGTTCCAAAGCACTATATCTACACACACAGTTATTGGGGACCCCTGGTAACAGTGACCACTCACCTCGACAGCTCCGTCCGTCGTTGTTGAGTCTATAGCCAGAGTGACAGCTGCATGTGTGGCTGCCCGGGGTGTTGGTACACATCTGGGCACAGTTCCCGTTGGCTGTCGCACACTCGTTGATATCTGTGTCACGGAGAAAGAGGCAAATGGAGTCAACATTTGGTAACAATGATCCCCACCAAAATCACTCTCTAAGGAAACCAAGGAGGACACCACTCTAATACGGACATCTTTTCTAACAGTTTCTGCATGTCATTAATAAAAAGGGACCTCACTAATTTGGACACTGTCCCCCTGGTGTCAGGATTAACCCAATACTCGGTCAGCTGAGCTTACCATTACAAGTGCGAGGTTAGTGGTCAGCTTGAAGCCAGATTGACAGCTGCAAGTAAAACTACTCAGTGTGTTGATGCATAGCTGTCCACAATTGTGACTTCCCTCGGTACACTCATCGATATCTGAAGCAACAGAGGTTGAGAAACGACAATGTTTTAGGCCTGAAAGAGTTTTAGCTAACTTAGGATCTAGCTCTGAAGGTGTGAGCACAAAGAAGGCTGCTGGGAAACTGCGGGTGTGGGATGAGTAAGAAATATGTAGTGTAGTACGTAGTGTAGTAAGTAGCGTATCTTCATGCTCCAGTGCCCTATCACTTACCACTACTCTAATTTCTACCACAAAGACGGTAGCTATGTAGCTAAAATCCACCCCTAATTGCCTCTTAGGCAATCTACCTCTATGTTGTAGCTAGATAGCAACATATCCATCCAAAAATCTCTTTGCACATCCACATCACATTTGGTCTAAACATACACACCTCTCGGGGTTATTGCCTGCAGCCTGTGCTTTTCGCGGCGACATTCCGGACAATTGAACGGACGCCCCTTTGCACGTTTGATAAGATCGGCGATGCAGGTCTTGCAGTAGTAGTGAAGACACGGCAGGACCTTCGGCTCCTTGAAATGCTCTGTGCAGACAGGACAGGTTAGCTCGTCGTCTAGTTTTTGGAGGCTCATGGAGAACAGATCTCCACCATCTCCGCGCATCTACTTGCGCATGCTCAGTGAGAGTGATTACAGCGCATGCGCACTTTAGGTGAAGGTAGGTAGGTCTGCACACTCTTTTCGCCACTTGAACTTGCTTCACACTGAAAGTCATTGGTGAGCAGTGTTACTGGTGCTTAAGTTAGCTCCTTACTAAGAGTGTATACAGAGTTCGTATTATGTTGGTTGTGTCTCTGCCACAGGTCCACTGGGTACCATCCTGCGGAGCTCTCAGAAGAGGCTGCACATGCGTCTCTACTACACTCTCATGGACTCCAAACAGTGCTACTTCACTCTCAAGACCGTCAACTTTACCTCCATGGAAGAAGACAGAGGTAACCTCACAGTACATTACTGGTACTAGTAGTAGGGTGTACTGATGTAGAGTATCTCTTGTGTGCAGATATTCTGCTGAGTATTGCCAGTACCCTCTCCAGCATCTGTACTAACATCTTGGTACAGGAGCAAAAACTTACCAAGTGAGTTAAACCTGTAGTTACGGACAACTTACTACTACATAAATAGATACCTATACTAATGTCTTAGTAGGACCAAGTGAGTTCAACTAAGACCTTCCTTTACCTTATAGACATACATAGCTACGTACTACACCTCTACAAATATAATACTTATACCCAGTATGGTGCTGAGGAGCCTTGGTATATATAGCAGCAGTAGCAGTAGAGTGTAGAGGTCCTCTATATATATGCTGGTCATAGGAAGAAAGGTCCAGTCCATCAGGGAGTCATATATCTACTGATGCCCAAAGAGCTGGCGTGGGAGGAGACCCTCTTGTCAAGAACTAACAAGGCAAAGGAGGAGGGAAAATATTCAGTTGAGGAGGGAGAGATGTGCAAGGAGGAGGAAGAAGAGGAGGATGAGAGAGAGCAGTCTCTCTCAATGCCAGCCTCTCCTACTCTGCCTAAGAGACATGTGCCGACTCGCAGGATCCAGCGACTTCGCAGTCAGAGCTCCGATGACATCATCTCCAGTGTCAACAACGATGACAGTCTTTCGCCTCCTCCCTCCATCACTACTGCTGACCACGATCGTCCTGGTGGACACGTCAGCGCAAGAAACTTTGCCTTTGAGACGATGCCTTCGCTGGACTCCGGGTCCGATTCTGGTACTGAACCACTCCCCCGGCGTGGACTGGGGACAATCTATGACCACACCCACCTCGTTAGCTCGCAGCCTGAAATGGCATCGAGTAGACCATCATCATCTTCATCACGGGGAGAGGGAGGAGGAAGACTCAACCAGCTGAGAGGGAAACTGCTGGGCAGGGTTCGTCGAGATCAGGGGCAGCAGAAGACCCACCAATCAACTGGAGGTTCCTCTCCAGCAAATCAGACCTCACCATGACCACATACCCTCTGATGGTGGACCTGACATTGGAGGAACAGGGGAGTCTGCTACAGTGGAGGAAACTATTACTACGACTGGCCCCTCCCTCTTCCCAGCCACAGCAGGGGTCAACAGGTTACCAATAGGCTACTGGCTGCCGGACAGAGGTTTCAGGAATGCCCGCCCGTCTGCTGCGCAGGATGGGTGTGGTCGTAGTGGGAGTGGTCAACATCATGCGACTCAAGCCCCGCCCCAATATACAGCACAATGACGTTGCAGATGAGAGTGAACAAGAAATCAAACAGCAATTTTATATCATTGTAGGGTATTGAAATAATGTGGTCTAATACTGTAGTGTCTATATTGCATGTCTTAATGGCGATGGATATATACGACAACACTGAAGGGCAATAAAGTAAACAACATTGTACATAAAATTAGTAAGAGGAAAGGGACATCATAAGCTTACCAACTGCACATCAAGACAAGGTGGCGCGGCGCTTTACCATGCTGCTGCAGTAGATATGACATAAGCCAAAAATAAATTGTTACT